GGCTAATTCTATGTCAACTTGACCCAGGCTGGAGTCATCTGAGAGGAGGGAACCCTAGTTGGGAAAATGCCTCTATAAGAATGGACTGGAGGCAAGCCTGTACAGCAGAGGTTCTCAGCCTTCCTAATGCGTCGACCCTTTAATACAGTTCCTCATGTTGTGGTGACCCCCAACCATGAAATTATTTCGTTGCTGCTTCATAACTGTGATTTTGCTACTGTTATGAATTATAATATCTGATATGCAGGATATCTGACAGCGACCCCCAACAGGGTCAGGACTCACAGCTTGAAAATTACTGCTGTAAAGCATTTTCTTAATTAGTGATTGATGTGGGAGGGCCCAGTCCACTGTAGGTGGGGCCACCACTGGGCTGGTGGTCCTGGGTTCTATAAGAAAGCAGGCTAGGGGCTGGAGTTATGGCTCAGTGGTTAAGAGCACCAACTGCTCTACCAGAGGACCCGGGTTCAATTCCCAGCACCCACATGGCAGCTTAGAACTGTCTGTAACTCTAAGATCTGACACCCTCACACAGACATACATGCATACACCAATGCACATAAAAAATAAAGATAAATTATTAAAAAAAACAAAACAGAGAAAGCAGGCTGCTACTGCTGGCACACACCTTTAATCCCAGCTCTCGGGAGGCAGAGGCAGGTGGATCTCTGAGTTTGAAGCCAGCCTGGTCTACAAAGAGAGTTCCAGGATAGCCAGGGCTACACAGACAAACCCTGTCTGGAAAAACCAACCAACTAACCAACCAACCAACCAAAACAAAACAAAACAAAAAAAGAGAGTGGACTGAACAGCCATGAGGAGCAGGCCAGTAAGCAGCATCCTCCATGGCCTCTGCATCAGCTCCTGCCTCCGGGTTCCCGCCTGTGTGAGTTCCTGCCCTGACTTCCTTCAGTGATGGACTATGGATGTGGAAGTGCAAGCCAACTAAACCCTTTCCTCTCCAACTTGCTTTTGGTCATGACGCTTCATCCCAGCAATAGTAATCTAAGACACCAGGGCTGCATGGAGAGACTGTCCCAAAAGAACAGAGATCAGGTCAGGACAGGAGCGTACAGAAAATAAGTGTTCCTGGTCAGGATGTGAAGTCTCCAGTCAACTTGTCACATAGGTTGGCTCTCAGAAGGAAGAGCAAACAAGATCAGAAATGGAGGAGAGGCATCAATGCTAAGGTCCTAAAAGAGAGGTCCAAGAGCAAAGGTGAGGGGCATACCGGGCTCATAGTGGCCATAGGTGGCATTGCGCAACTCCTCCCAGCCCACGCGCCCGTCGCGGTCTGTGTCATAGGTGTGCCAGGCTGCGCTCACGGAGTCACGGATGTGCCGCTGCTGCGTGTGCGCGATCCACGCACGAAGCTCGGCTAAGGACACCCAGCCGTCGCTGTCCCCAGCAAGATCCATGCGGTCCACGATCCGCCTGCGGGGAGGACCGGTGTGAGTCCCTGGCCCTTGCCAACGAGGCCCCAACCCTAGAGCAGAGATACTGTCAATCTCAGTTTTGACCCTGCCCACCTAGGCCCCTTCCTTTCCTGCTGAGCAGCCCTTGCACCTACATAAGACCGAAAAATGGGGACTTAAGTGACGGCTCTTGTAGGGACCCGGGTTTGATTCTCATGAACCTCACAGGGCAGCTCACAAGCGTCTGTAACTCCAGTTCCAGGGGACCCTCGCCCTCTTCTGGCCTCTCTGAGCACCATAGCATGTTCATGGTGCTCATACACTCAGGAAAAGCACACACACTCATACACTAATATAAATGAATCTTCTTTAAATTAAAAAAAAAAGATCAGCGTATGGTAGCACACGCCTTTAAATCTCAGCACTTGGGAGGCAGAGCCAGGCAAATCTCTGTGAGTTCAAGGCCAGCCTAGTCTCCAGGACAGTCAGGGCTATGTAGAGAGACTCTGCCTCAAAAAAAACAAAACAGATTTTGCGTGTGTGTGTGTGCGTGTGTGTGTGTGTGTGTGTGTGTGTGTGTGTGTGTGTGTGTGTGTGAGAGAGAGAGAGAGAGAGAGAGAGAGAGAGAGAGAGAGAGTGTGTTTCTCTGCGTAGCCCTGGCTATCCTGGAACTCACTCTGTAGACCAGGCTGGCCTCAAACTCAGAGATTCACCTGCCTCTGCCTCCCGAGTGCTGGGATTAAAGGCGTGCGCCACCACTGCCCAGCAAAAAAAAAAAAAAAAGTTTTTTTTTTTCGAGACAGGGTTTCTCTGTGTAGTTTTTGGTGCCTGTCCTGGATGTCACTCTGTAGACCAGGCTGGCCTCGAACTCACAGAGATCTGCCTGCCTGTGTCTCCCGAGTGCTGGGATTAAAGGTGTGCGCCGCCGCCGCCACCGCCGCCGCCGCCGCCGCCGCCGCCGCCGCCACCCGGCCAAAAAAATTTTTTAAAGAAAAATAAGGGGTCAGGAGAAATGGCTCAGTGGTTAGGAGCACTGGGTGCCTCTCTAGAGGACCTGGGTTCAATTCCTGCCATCCACATGGCAGCTCCTAACTGTAACTCCAGTTTCAGGGGATCCATGGCATCGGGCATGCACATGGTGCACATATATATATGCATGCAGGCAAAAGCCACATAAAATAATCTTTAAAAATAAAGTATGGAGGAAAAATGCCACCCCGGGTCTGCAGGCAAACAGGTGAGGCTCTTGTCAATCTTCAGACATTTCCACCCCAGAGCACTGCCCACTGCCTACACTTTTCCCACCCCTTGCTCACAGCCAAGCCACCATTTCGGACTGAAAATTCTGCATGATATCACAAGTGAACCCAGAAGAGGCACTGTCTGCCTTTGTTTTGTGTTTTGTTTTTTTTAGAGAGAGTCTCACTATGAAGGCCTACTTAGCTTGGATCTCACTGCATAGACCAGGCTGGGCCTGAACTCCCGGAGATCTGCCTGCCTTTGGCTCCCGAGTGCGGGAGGATCAGGGTCAACACAGGATCAGGAGGAGCATCGTCAATGGCCGTGGACTCAAGTTCTACCCGTTTCCCTGGAAGGGCAGACCAATTTTGGGCTCCTTCCAGCTCGGCCCTGCAGCCCTTCAATGCCACTACTTGTCCAGTTTAAAATTACAACTTGTTAGCCAGGCCTGGTGGCACACACCTTTGATCCCAGCACTCAGGACCCAGAGGCAGGTATTCGAATCTTTGTGCATTCTAGACAAGTCTGCTCTACATAGTGAGTTCCAGGCCAGTCAGTGCTACACAGTGAGACTCTATCTCAAAATAATAAAAGTAATGATAATGATAATAATAAAGCATATATGCACGGAGTGGCCTTCTTGTCCCCAGGGTCATGCTGACTGTCTCCTCCACAGGGAAATGGCAATCTCCTCCAGATGGAGTCGTGACTCCATCCCTGCCAGTTCAACCTGAATTCTGAGCTTGGGATCCTTCTCAAAGTTCATTTCTTCAGTCTCTACCAGGAGTGGGTGACCCCTTTCGAAGTTAAGAGTCAGAACAGGGATGTCCAGACAGAGGCATGGAGGACTCGAAGCAGAGAGTGGCAGGTCGCCCAGGAGGAATTCAGGAAAAGAGCCTCAGGTTTAACTCTGCCTTTTCCCAGGAGGTGAGCATCACAGTCCTGTCCAGTCTCCTGCCTCTAATCTTTTCAGTGAGCTCAATTCCCCACCTCCCACCTCTGCCCAGCTCCCCGCATCCTACCCAAGTCGGGCCTGGCTTTCCTCTGGACTGAGTTGGTCAAATTCCTTGGCCACGTCTCGTCCCAGGAACGCCTCGTGGTCGTACTGGAAATTCCCGTGGGCGTCATCGTGGGGGGCCTCACTCAGGGGGGCTCCCTGATGCACCCTACCCTGGCCATGAGGTCCGGCGTCAGGGGATGGCTTCCCCAGGGCCCACCACCTCAGCAGCAACAGAAGCAACAGAAGCGACCATCGCCACATCATCGGTCCTGGGAAGAGGTGAGGACCAGGGATCAGAGGGTCACGTGGGAAAAAAATCCGAACCAGACAGAATGTGGGGAGAACTTCCAAGTTAGAGGAGTTGCCTAAGGCAAGGCTGCAAAAAGTTTGGGGCTCAAGAAAAGTCGGCAAAAAGAACAGGGAGTTTGAAGGTAAAACCACCTATACGGGTAGATCTCGAGCCTCGAAGGAGTCCCAGAGAAAGGGGGCATTTCAGTTGGAGACGTGGCAAACGTCCCACCAAAGTTCAGGGGATGGGGGTAGCTGAAAGCATCATGCACGGTCTTCTGCGTGGCCCCCAGACTTCACCGCGACCCTCACTCCGAAACCCCCTCCCTGGCTAACTCCCTACCCTTCCCCCCGTTACCCGTTACCCGGTCTGGGTTCAAGTCCCACGCTGAGCTCTGCTTTCACGCAAAGATGCCCAACCTGGCCTAGTGCCAGTCAAGCTCCGCCCCCAGCAGCCCAGAAGCCCCCGCCCTCTGACCAATGGCGGCGCAGGAGAGCCTCAGGGGCGGAGCCAATGAGCGCCAAGATTGCCCCGGGAGAGCCCCTCGCCACGTCCACAAGGCAGAGCGCTGGCCTGGAAGGCGTGGTGGGCGATAAGGCAGATCGAACTACAACTCCCAGCAGGCTTGTGGGCAGCCTGCACAGCCACCTCCAGAGGCTCAGGCCCTTGTATTTTTTTTTTTTTTTTTTACCGCTTCCTTATTCTCAAATTGGTTTAAGAAAAGAGGTCGAGCTTAGTGGCTCCTGCCTTTAATTCCAATACTTGGCAGGCAGAAGCAGGCGGATCTCCATGAGTTCGGGGCTAGCCTGGTATACATAGCAAGTTCCAGGACAGTCAAGACTACATAGAGTTCCTATCTCAAAAAAAAAGAAAGAGAAGAACAGAAGAGCTGAATTTCTTGAAATCCCTGGCACAGTGTAGGTATCATATACATTTATGACTAAAAGTACACAGTGTACAAAATGGGCAGGCCCTACCCCCGCAACCAGGAGGAGTCTGTATGATCTTTCCCAAACTCCCGCTGCCTGAAACTCAAGAATAACGGTGCACACACAGATTTGGGTCCAAATTTTATGTGGAGATGGAAAAGAGCCATATTCATCAGAAGGGGAAACTGAGGCAGGCCACAAAAGGAGAGGTCCAAGGGAGGACATCCGGTCCAGGGCTCCCTCAGGAGGCTCAGAGATGCCAGGAGTTCAGGAAGTCACACAGCACCAAATGCCGCAATGGGTATTGGCGGCCTGAGTTGGCATCAGGAAGTGGCTGGAAAGGCATTTGCACGGTGAGGGTCAGCCTCAGGGGGCAAGTTCCCACCAGGCAGCAGGTCACCTGAGTCATCGCCGCTGAGGGAAAGCCATGGGGCTAAGAGAGAGGAAAAGAGGTCAGCGTCTGTCACCACGGTCTCACCAGCCCCACACACCATGAGGGTGCCACTCTCTGGTCTCTGTCCCCATCTCTTTCCCCTGGGTGTTCAGGACCTGTCTCTGTGTGTCTCTCTCTCCCTCCCCTCTTTCTCTCTGGGTCTTCTGTCTCTCCATCTTGTTCCCTCCACTCTCTCTCGGTCTCTCCCTCTCCCTGGAACCTTGTCCTGTCTCTCTGTCTCTCTGGGTCTCTGCTCCCCCCCCCCCGCCCCTCCCACTCCTGCACATACCTGGCAGCCCACTGCGCATCCTGTTCCACAGAAGCACAGCCCCTGCAGCGGCCACTATGATCACCAAGAAACCAAGAATAATTCCAACCACAGGCACAGAAGACCTGGCTGCTGAATCTGCAACCAGAAAGTGTTATGAAGACAGGGAAAACAGCTGAGGAGTCCCCGCAGAGACCCTTACCAGCATATGACGGCGGTGGGAGTGTGCAGAGGAAGGCCCTGGGCCTCATGTTTCCACTCTGCGTGTAAGAACCAGCCACACTGGTGGAGCACGCCTTTAATCCCAGCACTCGGGAGGCAGAGCCAGGAGGATCTCTGTGAGTTCGAGGCCAACCTGGTCTACAGGAAGATCCAGGACAGGCACCAAAACTACAGAGAAACCCTGTCTCGAAAAACCAGAAAAAAAAAAAAGGAACCAGCCACACACTGCAGTGGTAGTGCACACCTTTAATCCCAGCACTTGGGAGGCAGAGGCAGGCAGATTTCTGTGAGTTCCAGACCAGCCTGGTCTACAAAGCGAGTTCCAGAACAGCCAGAGCTATTACACAGATGTTACACAGAGATACCCTGTCTTGAAAAAAACAAAAAACAAAAACCAGTCACACTGGTGCTGGAGAGGTGGCTCAGCTGTTAAAAGCACTGGCTGCTTGGGCTGGAGAGATGGCTCAGAGGTTAAGAGCACTGACTGCTTTTCCAGCGCATCAGAGTTTGGTTCCCAGCACTCATATCCAATGCCAGAAGACCTGACTCTGACCCTCTAGAATAGAAACCTAGGCTGGCAAGATGAGTAAAGACCTTTGCCATAAAACCTGACCTGAGTTTGATCCCCATGACTGACATGGTGGTAGGAGGGAACCAACTCTCACAGGTTGTCTTTTTGAGCTCCACAAGTGTGCCATGGCGCAGGCGCACCTCTGCCTTCCCCTCCCACGTAAAGAGTGTAGGGAAATTAAATATATATGCACATGCTGGGATTAACGGGGAAGGCCGCCACCCGCCACCACCACCGCCACTGCCCAGCTATAAATCTTTTTTTTTTTTAAAGAACAATAGTGATACTGAGAGAACACGGCCACACTGTGAGTGGGCTGGCTGAGAACCCAGCTCAGGAAGGAGAAGCAGGTGCCAGTCAGCCTCGGCAAGGATGCTCAGTGGCAAAAGTGAACTGGTCGGAAGCCATGAAGACCAGCAACAGCATGACAGAAGATGGTTGGACTCGGGAGGACTGGCCACAGGGGTTAGGGGAGAGTCAGAAGCCAGGAACAGCAAGAAGACACCGAGGCTGGAGGGACAGCCTCACCTAGGTCCACAGTGAGAGGCTGTAGCAGCCCCTCATGTTCCACGTGACATTGGTAATGGTGTTCATCTCCTCTTTTGACCTCCAGCAGTGACCAGGCGTGGAAAGAGCCATCACCGTTGGGACCAATGCTGCTGTTCCCAGAGCCGGCGGCCAGGCCATTCCGCAGGAATCGTAGCTTCAGCTCAGGTGGGTAGAAGGAGAAAGCAGCACAGGTCAGTATGGAGGAGCCGGAGTCGCTAGGACTGGCCTTCAGGCGCATGGAGGGTGGCTCTGTGGGACACAGGAGACGGGCCAGCAGTTAAGCCGGGCTGTGACCCTCTCTGAAGGCTTAGTGTGAAGCTGGTCACGGACAGACACCCCCTTCCCTATATGAGCCCTGTGCTGACCCAGAGGACTTCCCAGAGTGACAGACACCCAATGCTGCTGACCCCACCATGACACCTCCTTTATCTGCCCCACCCCTTATTTGTGTGTGTGTGTGTGTGTGTGTGTGTGTGTGTGTGTGTGTGTGTGTAAATAGGCATGTGTCAAGGCCAGAGGTCCATGGCACGTGTCTTCCTCTACCGCTCTTCATTTTTCCCTTTACTTTTCACTCTATGTGTAAGGGTGGTTTTGGGCATGTGTCTGTGCACCACATGTGTGCAGTGCCCATGGAGGCCAGAAGACATCAGATCCCCTGGAACTGGAGTTACAGATGGTTGTGAGCCACCACGTGGGTGCTGGGAACCAAATTCAGGTCCTCTGCAAGAATAGCACTTATTATTTGAGACAGAGGTTCTCTCTCTCTCTCTCTCTCTCAGTAAACCTAGGGTTCCCCCTTTTAGCTACACTAGCTGCCAGTGAGGCTCTGTGATTCCATCTCTGCCAGACCCCTCCCTGCTGGTACAGACACGCAGCCACAGGAGCTCAGAGCCCAGGTCTTCATGCACACCAAGCATCTCCCCAGGCACATTTATTTGTCTGTTTTGAAACTGAATTTCACTCTAGCCCAGACAGGCCTCAAACTAGCTATGTGGACAAGGATGACTCTGAATTCCTGCTCTTCCTTCCTCCCCTTCCTCAGTCCTGAGAAATGGCAGGCATGTGCCACCATGCCTGGTTTATGTGGTGCATTAAGGGGGCAGAGGCAGGTGGATCTCTGTGGGTACCAGGCCAGCCCAGTCTACATAGCAAGTACCAGGCTAGCCAAAGTGACGTAGTGAAACACTGTCTTAAAAAAAGGGAAAAAAGCCGGGCGGTGGTGGCGCACGCCTTTAATCCCAGCACTCGGGAGGCAGAGCCAGGCGGATCTCTGTGAGTTCGAGGCCAGCCTGGGCTACCAAGTGAGTCCCAGGAAAGGCGCAAAGCTACTCAGAGAAACCCTGTCTCGAAAAACCAAAAAAAAAAAAAAAAAAAAAAAAAAAAAAAAAAAAAAAAAGAGAAAAAGAAATGCATGAAGAATAAATAAAAGAGTAAACTGCCGCTGGGGTGTGGCTGAGTTTGCAGAGTGCGTGTCTGATGTGTGTGGAGTCCTGGGTTCAGTCGCCAGCACACTGAGACTGACTGACTGCGTGGTGGTGCACACCTGTAATCACAGCACTCCAGAGGTGGAGGTCGGAGGATCAGGAGTTCAAGGTTATCTTTGACGACATAAGAAGTTTGGGGCCAACCTGGACTCCACAAGACCCTGAATCAACAGCAATAAACCCCTAAACAAAATGAAAGTCTGTAGGGATCTAAGAACCCAGCAGGGCTGTGCTGGGCAGAGGCGTACCCTCCATCCGGGGTGGGTCTGTTCTGGTTCTCAGCTGCAGGTACTCAGCAGAAAATAAGCTGACAATTTCTTAGGAAGAGGAAGCCAGGCAGCTTCCCCGAAAGAGGGGCCTCACTGGCAGCTGGGAGACCTGGCGTACCATTGGCTCTGCCACAGAAGACCGGACCTCGGTCAGCAGTTCTGTGTCCTGCCCAGTGGTTACTATTGTTTTCTAGTGAGGATGACTTCCTGTGGGTGGTGCTGAGGGGCCCATGTTTCTCCTGTTTTCCAGTGCTGACCCTGAGGGTTCAGCCCTGAGCTTCAGCCTACCCTTGGCTTCTGCTTAACAGAAAAAAGGAAGCACCTTAACCACCAGAGACATGAAGCTGTGTGGCCAAGGCCTGTGAGCCCAGCACCCAGGTGGCTAGGGCAGAGGGATCCCAAGCTCAAGGTTTAAGCCATAGAGTGAGTTCAAAGCTAGCCCGGAAAACTTAGTAGACCCCACCTCAAAATAAAAAGTCAAAAGAGGGCCAATTAGGGGTTGAGGGATGGCTTAGCAGCTAAGAGCGTGTGCTGCTCTACCTACAGAACTGAGTTCGATTCCTAGCACTGACATTGGATGACCTGTAACTCCAGCTGCAGATCTGATAAATTAGTAATAAAATAAATGCAGGGCTGGTGAGGTGGCTCAGTGGGAAAGGAACTTGCTGACAAGCCTGAAGATCTGAGTTCTAGCCCCAGAACCTACATGGCGGAAGGGAGAGATCCAGCTTACAAAGTTCTCTGACCTTCACACTTACGCTTTGGGATGTGTGCGTGTGCGTGTGCGTGTGCGTGTGCGTGTGCGTGTGTGTGTGTGTGTGTGTGTGTGTGTGTGTGTGTTTAAGTAAAATGAGGGCTAGAGACATGCTCAGTGGTAGAGCCTAGAATCCCCCAGTGAGCATGGCTTGGTGGTAGAGCCCCTGCCTTGCATGTTTGGAAGAAAGGGAACAGAAACACAGCCTTATACCTGATAACAGAAGGCCATTATGAAAAACAAAATCCCATACAGACAGAAAGTACCAAGCGTAGCCAGTACCTGCAGAAACTGGAACCCTTGCCAAGGGGTGTGTAAACAGTGCAACTACATGGTATTCCTTTTTCACTTAGTCCTGGCTGGCTCAGAGATCTACCTGCCCTGCCTCTGGAGTACATGGACCACCACACTAAGCCACCATGGAGGTTCCTGAATAAATGAGCTCAGCAGGCAAAAGTAGTGGCTGCTCTTCCAGAGGACTCAGGTTCAATTCCGAGCACCCACCCCATGGTAGGTAACTCAAAACCATCTTTATCTCTAATTCCAGGGGATCCGATGTCCTCTTCTGGCCTCTGTGAGCACTGCATGCATGTGGTACATAGACATACATGGAGGCCAAACACCCATACACATAAAATAAAAATAATTATTCTTTTTTCCTAAAATGAACCCAGCCGCCCTACTTGTGGGCACTTATCCAGAAGTTGAAATCTAGATGCCATGGAAATACTGGCCCCTACTCTGCATTGCAGCATCTGTCAAAACAGCCAAGTACAGAAACACCCTGAACACCCACAGCAGATGAAAGACGACAGTATGGACCAGGCTCCACAGGGGACTGCTATCCAGCCACAGTTCCTCAAACGGTGGCGATGGCCCAGCAGATAAGCCTGTTTATTGCACAAGCCTGAGGACCCAAGTTCGAATCCTTAGCACTTCTGTAAAAACTGTAACCTGGGCACTGAGGGTGCAACCAGAGAGGATAGGACCACTGGGGGACCTGCTGGGTACCAGTGTAGCTCCAGGTTCAGTGAGAGAATCCGTGTCAAAGAAATAAGATGGAGTGTGATAGAGGAGGAACCCGTTGTCCTCAGACCTGTGTATGTGGACAGGTGCACACCACATACATATGCACGTGTGCATACACCACACACATACACAGTCACATATGTACACAAAATAATAAATAAATACGTAAATGTAAGCTTTAAAATGTTTTATACACCTAAAAGATGGCTGGGGGGGGGTGGCGCACACCTTTAATTCTAGCACTGGGGAGGCAGAGGCAGGCAGATCTCTATGAGTTCAAGGCCAGTCTGGCCTACAGAGCAAGTTCCAAGACAGGCGGGACTACACAGAGAAACCCTGTCTTGAGAAAAACAAACAAAAACCTAAAAGATGGAAGACAGGCATGGCTCAGTGGCCAAGTTCTTGCCTAGCAAGAGAAGGGTCTGAGTTCAATACCAAAAAGAGTCAACGAAGTGAGAGGTGGGATTAAAAGCAAAAGGAGTTGGGACTGGAGAGGTGGTTCAGGCGGCAAGAGTGCGTGCTGCTCCTGCAGAGGTCCTGAGCTCAGTTCCCAGCACCCACACTGGGCAGGTCATCACTGCGTGTAACTCCAGCTACAGTGGGTATAAGCCTCTTCTGACCTTGGTGAGCTGCTACACTCACGTGCACACAGACACACAAGTACACATATAAAAATAAAAACATGTATGTGTGCACACCAGTGCAGGTGCCCGTGGAGGCCAGTGACATCTGATCCCCTGGCGCTGGACTTATAGGTGGCTGTGAGCTGCCAGATGTGGGTTCTGGAAACTGAACTCAGTCCTCCGCAAGATCACTATGTGCTCTTAATTACCGAGCCGCGTCCAGCCCTAAATTTTTTTTTTCAGAAAAAGGTCCTAAGAACAACCCCTGAGGCTGCGTTCTGGCCTTCATGCACATGAGCACACGCATGAGCACAGCACACTCAAATCCAGACAGGATGAAACTTTGGTTTGTTAGAAAGGAAAGGGGGGGGGGCTTTACATAGACTGCAAAGCTGTAAAACCCTCCAAATACACAGAAAGACCTAGGTCACCTTGGGTTGGGAATGACCTCCAAGATAGACTAACAAAAGCACAGTTCTCAAGAGAGCAAAGTGATAAATGAAAAAGTTCCACTTCTCAGGGGCCTAGAGAGATGGCTCAGAGGTTAAGAGCACTGGCTCCTCTTCCAGAGGACCCAAGTTCAAGTCCCAGCAACCAAATGGTATCTTACTGACACCCTCTTCTGGCCTGCAGGCATACATGCAGACAGAGCACTCACGCACATAAATAAATAAACCTTCCTTTAAAAGAACAAAAGAAATACGGTGGAGGAAGTGTTTTTGAAACACTTATCTGGTGACGGGTTGGGTCCACAGTATACAAAGAGCTCTCAGAGGTTAACAAGAAGAAAAAGACATGGAAAAACTTAGCACTTGGGAGGCTGAGACCAAAACGACAAGTTTGAGGTTCCCTGGACTACACTATGAAGCTCTAAATATAACGACAACAAAAAAGAAAGAAAGAAAAAGAAAAAGTAGCTGGCCATGGTGGCACACTCCTTTAGTCCCAGCACTCAGGAGACAGAGGCTGCCAGACCACTGTGAGTTCAAGGTCAGCCTGAACTACAATTAATTAGCTGGGTGTGGCAATACACTTCTGTCAGCCCAGCAATTGGAAGGAGGCAGGAGGACCAGGATTTCAAGATCATCCTCCACTCCATCGTGAGTGTGAGTTCGTGGCTAGGCTGGGTTACATGAGACCTTGTCTTAACAGGTCCCCTGGAATGTGTGGGAATGCACTGAGCAGGATGTTGGGCGAGCCTCCAGCATGGCTACAGAGATTTAGAGGACAGGCAGGAGATGGGCTCACCCTTCCACTCCAGGTACTGAAGGCCCCTCTCCAGGTGGCCTAGCAGCCGCTCAGGACAGGAAGTCAGCAGGAACTCACTCTCCTTCCTGGCCACCTCAGGCTGCTTCATCCACAGATTTCCAACCATTTCTGTCTCAGGCCACTCCCCAGTCCAATTGCCAATTCTTGGATTGAACTCCATGAACTCCTCGCCATTGAGGGCGAACACAGCCGTGGGCAATGAGGAATTGTCGGGGGCCAGTTCGCAGCCCAGCAGGCCCTGCAGTGTGTAGTTACCTAGATGCCAACACGCAGGTGAGCAGACCGAGACAAGGCCAGGCTTCCTGTCTCCGCCTCCCTCAGACCCAGTGCTCAGTCCCCAGCTTCCTCCCTCAGACCTAGAGGTCCAGACCCAGCCTTCACCCTTATTCCTAGGGGTTCAGACCTCACCCTCTTCTTCAGACCTATGGCTCCAGCCTCCTTCCTCGACCCAGGAGTCCAGACCCCACTTTCCTTCCTCAGGCCCAGGCTACTGCACCCCACCTTTAAGCACATCGATATGGTGGTCTTCCAGGGTTCTGATGGCCTCCAAGAAGAGCTGTTCTTTGCTTTTCATGTCCACAGTCTCCTTCTCCCAATACCAGGACACTTGATTTTCCCACATCCAGGCCCCGCAGGGCACAGCCTCCCGCCGCAGGCTGTTGTAGCTCAGATACTGCTGAGGCCCCAGCCAGCCCGTGGCCCAGAAGGAGGGAACCCCCTTGGATGGGTTGGACACAGCTGTAAGGTGGTACAGCAGTGGGGGACGGGTCTCTGTGCATAGGAAAGAGGGGCGTCAGTGAGGCATGGACAGTGAGAAACTGGACTCAATCTGAGGGGCAGTGATCTTACAGAGGGAGGGGACAGAGAGAGACGCAGAGAGGGAGCGAGAAAGATGGACAGAAACAGACTGAGACCCAAAAGGGAGGGACGGATACCCCGAGACTGTCACGTGTATTTGACTGGAAAGCCGAGGAAAGCTATCCACAGTGAGATTTCCAGGAGTGCCAGGACATCATGAGGTGGCCTCTTACCTGCACCCCAGGTCCGAGGCAGGAGGACCAGCAAGAGGCTGAGGACCCAGGCCTGGGGCATCCCCATCCTGACTGGGCGACCTGAAGTGGGAGGGACACGTGACTCCTCTGGACCCCGCCTCGCTGACTCTTCACAAGGCCCCTGTGGACTCCGCATAGACCCAGACTGGTGGTGGGATGGGGACCCAGTCCGCGATGACAGGAGTGCCTGACTCCTGTGTGAACTTTCACCTCTTCATTTGATCCACTTTAGTTAATTAATTACAGAACTAGACACACCAAAATTCGTCTCAGACTTCTGCTATTTCCTTTTCTCCTCCCTCATTCCCAGAGGCTCAGACCTCACCCCCCTCCCACAGACCCTGAAGTCCAATGGCATGAATTCCTCCCTGGGATCCAAAAATCTAGGCCCAGCCTTCCTCCCTCGGATTCAAATGCCCAAATTCCTGCTCTCCTCCCTCAGACCCCAGCCTCTTCTCTCCCCCTCAGGAGTCGGGCACACTCTTCTTCCCTCACACCCAGGGGTCCAAGCCCAGCCCTCCTCCCTCAGACCCTGGTGCTGGCCCTCGAACCTGGGAACCCAGGCCTCGGCCTCCTCCTCCTCGGCCTCCTCCTCGGCCTCCTCCCTGGCCTCGGCCTGTGTTGCTCACAGAAGCCTGCTTCCCTCTTTGCCTGCAGTTTGCGGATCCTCTGGCCGGAGCCCCCAGTTCTTTACTTACATCCTGTGCACAGAACTGTGGGACTCTGAGGGCATCCAACTCCACCCCCAGCTGCTAGGCACGCCCCTGGGCCTCTGCCCAGCCTCTCTGGAAGCTCCTGTGGTATTTGGTTGGAAGTCTCCTGGGGCATAGTCAGTTCGGCCTGCCTCCCAGAGAAGCTTCCATGTTTACTCACCCTGGGGGTTTTCACAGTAGACTCACAGCCCTGGAAAGGCCTGGACACTGCATGTTGCTTTAAGGCACCCCAGGACTTGGAGGCTGGGGGTGTGGCTCAGTCCTGGAGTGGTTGCCTAACACACAAGACTTGGCTAGCGCCCTCTTCCAGCTGCAAGCCTGCTCTGGTTTCTTCCGTGAACCCAACACTTGAGTGAGGCGCCCCACCCTGCCTGCACACTCTTGTGGATAGAAGCTTCTCTCAGGCCTGTTTCCCACCCTGCTGCCCACCCATGATCGTGCCAGGACACAGACACACACAAATACGGACACCAGCAGATGGGTAGGTTGACAGGCAGATAGGCAGTAAAGTAGAAGGGGGATCGGCGGTGGCGGCCCCTGCTTGTGATTCTGGCACTCGGGAGGTGGCAGCAGGGAGGCCAGGAGTTCAAGGCCAACGTGGGCTGCATGAAGGACTATAGACAGATGAGAGAAGGAGGTTGAGAGAGCCTGAGTGGTGGGTCAACAGACAGACCGACAGGCTGAAGAGATAGACAAAGCCGCTGTGGTGGCACGGGACTGGAGCCCAAGCGCTTGAAGACAGATGCAAAAGAACAGAAAGTTTGCAGAGGACCTGAGTTCGATTCCCAGCACCCACAGAGTGGATCACAACTACCCGTAACTCCAGTTCCGGGGGACCTGACAACTTCTGATCTCCCTGAACACCAGGCAGGAACGTGGTGCACATGCAGACATAAAGAAAATAAATAAATCTTAAAAAAATTCTTTAAGGGAAAGTGGAAAGTCAGCCGCTGGTGCTGTCTTGACCTGCCTCTCCAACTGGTCTGTACTCTTTGTGTGTGTGTGTCGGGGTCAAGACAGAGACTCGTGCAGCCCAGGCTGACCATGAACTTCTGATCTTCCTGCCTCCAGTTTAAATGCTGGGATTACAGGCCTCCTGTGGGCTAGGGGGACGGCTCAGGCAGTACGTACTTGCCTTGTAAGTATGAGGATCTGAGTTCTGATCTTCTGCCCTGGAGCTGCCATGTAAAAAGCTGGTTCTAGGGGAGAGAGATGGCTCAGTGATTAAGGGCACGGGCTGCTCTATGTGGTGGTGGCACACACTTTTTATTCCAGTATTTAGGGGGCAGAGGCAGGTGGATCTCTGTGAGTTCGAGGCCAGCCTGGTCTACAGAGTGAGTTCCAGGACAGCCAGGGCTGCATATAGAAACCCTGTCTCAATCTCTGCTCCAAAAAAAGAGTTCCCAGCATCTACATGAATGCTCACAACCCTCCTCTGGCCTCTGAGGGCACTGTACTCACATATGCAGACACACAGAGTCATTCAAATACATGTAACCAAAAAACAAAACAGGCGCCGGGCGGTGGTGGCGCACGCCTTTAATCCCAGCACTCGGGAGGCAGAGCCAGGCGGGTCTCTGTGAGTTCGAGGCCAGCCTGGACTACAGAGTGAGTTCCAGGAAAGGCACAAAGCTACACAGAGAAACCCTGTCTCAAAAAATCAAAAAACAAAAAACAAACAAACAAAAAAAAAAGGCATGGTGGCACATGCCTTTAATCCCAGTACTCAGGAGATAGAGGTAGGCAGATCTCTGTGAGTTCCAGACCAGTGTGATCTACATAATGGATTCCAGGACAGACAGACTTAGGTGCTGAGACCCGTGTCAATTTTTTTTTTTTTTTTTAGTTTTAAAAAAAAAGTCATGCTGGGAGGTGGTGGTTTTGCACGCCTTTAATCCCAGCACTCAGGAGGCAGAGGCAGGAGGATCTCTCTGAGTTCGAGACCAGCCTGAGCTACAGAGTGAGTTCCAAGACAGCCAGAGCTGTTACACAAAGAAATCCTATCTTGAAACTACAACCCCCCTCCAAAAAAAAGAAAAGAAACGAAAAAGAAACAGCTTTTTTATTTTTTTGGTTTTCCAGACAGGCCTGCCTCTGCCTCCCAAGGGCTGGGATTAAAGGTGTGCACCACCACCATCCAGCAACATTTTTTTTTCTTTCTTTTTTTTTTTTTTTAAACATTTTCTTTTTTAATCTCTTATTTTTTTGAGGTGTTTAATACATGTAGTATGCACACCTACACACCCTCTCGTGGAGCTCAGAGTAGGTCTAATGTCTTCCACTTGCTGTCCACCTTATCGTTCTGAGCCATAACCAGCCTTAACCAGACTGCTACAGTCTGTCTCAGGGTTCCACTCTGTGCTCGTGAGCATGCAAGCGTGAACGTGGAGGCCAGAGGGTCTTCTCAGAAGTGCCGTCTACCTCCTCTGAGACAAGGACCACAGCCAGTTGGTTAAGTGTTCTGAAATATCACTTTAACTATGTCAAGTTGTGTTGCTTTGCCTTCCTAAGGCATCTGATTGGTCTGATGAAAAGCTGAACGGCCAAAAGCTAGGCAGGAGAGGGATGGGCAGGGCTGAGGGCAGAGAGAATAAGCAGGAGGAGGAACCTAGGCTCCAGAGGGAAGAGGAGAGAGAAGGAGAGGGGAACACCCGGGGCCAGCCAGCCAGATGTGGAGTAGGACATACAGAATGAAAAAAAGGTAAAAAGCCCTGAGGCAAAATGTAGATGAAGAGAAACCAGTTAAATTAGGTTATAGGAGCTATCAAGAAAAGAGCCTCACCTAAGGCCAAGCATTCATAATAAGTCTCCGTGTTGTGATTTGGGAGCTGGTTGGTGGCCCAAAAGAAAGTCTGTTACAGTTAGGCTGCTCAGCCAGTGAGTCCCTGATATCCTCCTGTCTCCCGACTCCTGCTGAAATTAGACACGTGTACCTCCACGTCTAGCTCCAGCCCCCCACACTTGGGTTCTGGGAGTTAAACTCAGGTCCTCAGCAAGGCAAGCATTTTATCAGCTTTGCTGGTTAGTTTCTATAAACTAGACACAAACTAAAGTATCTGGGAGGAGGGACTTCAGTGTTGGCATGTCTGTGGGGCATTTTCTTGATTGACAACCAGTGTGGGAGCGCCCAGCACATTGGATGGTGCCACCCCTGGGCAGGTGGTCTTGGGCTGCACAAGAAAGCAGGCCGATGGGGCCATGGGAAACAAGTCAGTAAAGCAGCTCTCCTCCCTATTTTCTGCTTCAAGTTCTTGCTTGAGTTCCTGCCCCGCCTTCCCTCAGTGATGGACAGTTATATGGAAGTATAAGTCAAATAAACCCTTTCTCCCCCCAGTTACTTTCGGTCATGGTGTTTATCACAGCAATAGAAAGCTAACTGGGGGCCGGGAGTTGTGATGAAGGCCTTTATCCCAGCACTCGGGAGGCAGAGGCAGGCAGATCTCTGAGTTCAAGGCCAGCCTGGTCTACAGAACAAGTTCCAGGACAGCCAGGGCTACACAGAGAAACTCTGTTTTCAAAAAACAAACAAACAAAGAATAATTTTAGAAAGTTTTATTAAACTTTTTTGTTTGTTTGTTTGTTTGTTTTGAGACAGGGTTTCTCTGTGTAGTTTTGGTGCCTGTCCTGGATCTCGCTCTGTAAACCAGGCTGGCCTCGAACTCACAGAGATCCCCCTGGCTCTGCCTTCCGAGTGCTGGGATTAAAGGCATGTGCCACCACCACCCTGCATTTTTTTTTTTTTTTTTTTAAGTTTAGATCACTTTTGCAGTCAGGGTCCCTGCTTTTCCACTGTGGCTTCACCTCAGTGTACATAATAGACTTTACCACTGCCTCTGCCATCTGGGTGAATTCACAGCCCGTCAATGCTGTGCTGGAATGGCAAGTTGGTGACCTGTATGGGGACTTCTCTTCTTTCATCTCTTGGCCACTTCTTCCTAGGGTGCCTGAGGTCATTGAGTGAGCAGTTCAGAGATGTAGTGCAAACTCTAATTGGTCTTAATAATAAAAACCCGGAGTCAGATATCAGGATCAGAGAAGGAGCCAGCCACTAGAGAGACTTCTTACCTCTACTGAATCCTCAGACCAAAAGGGGGTGAGCTCCTGTCTCCTCCTGCCTTATATTCCTGTCTCTGCCCAGCCATATCATTTCCTGTCCTCAGGCAAGCTTTATTTGTTAGAGTACAAACAAAATATTACCACATTTCCCCCTTTTTGTCTACAATTAAAAAAGGTTATAACTAGTATCAAGAAAAACTATATACAATAAGTGTAATAACTATATACAATATATACAGGCAATAAATATATCAACAATGTCTAGTCCATAAACATTTGACAAATTCAGAGAAAATACTCCATTATCTACCGTATTTTGGTGAGTTCAAAAGGTTGTACCTAATTCACTTTCTATTCTAACTTGCGTTATCAAAACTACCTTTTAATGTCTCACAACCCTATACACTTTACACCTCATTAGTGAATTTCTTTTCTGAATCTGGTAACAAGGAAAACCATAACTATAACTATCTAGCCTTCAACTCCCTCAGAGACCTGAGAAGGCAATAATATTACCTGAGTAAGCAGGAAGTGCAAGCAAGCAACTTCCAAAACATGTGAGAAATGACAGAAACATCTGGCTGCCTGGACAGTCACTCAAAGTTCCTCTGTAACGTTGGGGCGTTCATCTTTGGCCTACAGGTCTAGCATATCTGACAGACTTTTCTGTGAAGCAGGATACTCTGAAGGGCTGTCCTACGTTGTCTTGGCAAAGTTTGGCATTCCTTTCTTTTGTGTCCTGCTTGTCCATTTTGGACAGCATACTGTCAGCAGTCAAGGCAAGAGCACTTTCTTGCCCTGTGGCTAACTTTTTTTTGTTGTTGTTTTGTTTTGTTTTTCTGAGACAGGGTTTCTCTGTGTACTCTGTGTAGCTTTGCGCCTTTCCTGGAACTCACTTGGTAGTCCAGGCTGGCCTCGAACTCACAGAGATCCTCCTGGCTCTGCCTCCCGAGTGCTGGGATTAAAGGCGTGTGCCACCACCGCCCGGCTACCTGTGGCTAACTTTTACCACAATGAAA